CCGGCACATGCTCGCACCTCCAATTTGAATGAGGAACTTGGTCAAGTCGACACTATACTCTCCGACAAGACTGGAACTTTGACCTGTAACTCAATGGAGTTTATCAAGTGTTCTGTGTCTGGAACAGCTTATGGCAGCGGTGTTACTGAAACTGAGAGAGCTGTGGATATCAGAAATGGTATGCCAATGCTTAATGGCAATGGAAATGGAAATATCTATAGGCACAATGAGGATGCTAAAGATTCAAGTCCCTCCGTCAAAGGCTTTAATTTTAAGGACAAAAGAATTATGAATGGAAACTGGGTTAATGAACCTCATGCAGATGTCATCCAGAAGTTCTTTCGCCTCCTTGCAACTTGTCATACTGCTATTCCTGACGTGGATGAAAATACAGGCAATGTTTCGTACGAAGCTGAATCGCCAGATGAAGCAGCATTTGTAATTGCTGCCAGAGAAGTTGGTTTTGAATTCTACCAAAGGACACAGACAAGTATATCATTTCGTGAACTGGATCCTAGGTCTGGAAGGAAAGTTGAAAGGTTAGTCTATAGCTTTGACATAAAAGTTATATAAGGATCTCTCTTTCCAGTGAGCTCTCTAATTCATTTGATGTGCATGCATGAAATGTTGATTAGTACTTGCATAATATGCTTGCCTCATTGTTTACTGCATCTTATATGTGCTTGAATTGTTCATTATGGATGGTCAGCATCTATCTTCTCACACTCTTTATATGTGAATAGAGGTGTTATCAAGACTATTGCTCTAGTTATTAACTTTACATTTCACAGGTCGTACAAGCTTTTAAATGTTTTGGAGTTTAATAGTGCCCGGAAGAGAATGTCAGTCATAGTAAGAAATGAAGAGGGTAAAGTACTATTACTATGCAAAGGTGCTGACAGGTATGTGAATTTTGATCAATATTATCCTCAAGTCCTTACATATTCTTTAATTGCTATGCATCATCATAATATGATCCCCGTGCAGTGTCATGTTTGAGAGGCTTGCCAAGAATGCTAGCAGATTTGAAGAGAAAACGAAGGAACATATCAATGAGTATGCAGATGCAGGGCTAAGGACCTTGGTGCTCGCTTATCGTGAACTTGACGAGGAGGAATACAAGGAATTTGATAGGAAATTCTATGAAGCAAAGAATTCAGTTAGTGCAGAGAGGGAATCATTGATTGATAAAGTAACAGATCGCGTCGAAAGGGATTTAATTCTTCTTGGTTCCACGGCAGTTGAGGACAAGCTTCAAAATGGGGTGAGTGGAATGCTTAGGTTTATCAATGGTTAAACCTTACACTATGATTTAAGGGTGGCCTAATGAAGGACTCCCTCCATTGGAGGTTCATCCCTGTCGCCGTTTTTCTTAAACCTTCTATCCTACTGTCTTCATTTATAGTATGGGCTTGAAATTGAACTTTTTCTGCATTTCCACTGGGCTTACTAGGTCCCTGAATGCATAGACAAGCTTGCTCAAGCTGGGATTAAGATCTGGGTTTTGACCGGGGACAAGATGGAGACTGCCATCAATATTGGGTATGGCTTTTTAGAAAATAAAGTTTACTTCTTTATATTATTGACAAAAATTTTACTCACTCAGAGATTGGGAATTTGCAGTTTTGCTTGTAGTTTGCTTAGACAAGGAATGAAACAGATTATTATAACTCTGGAAACACCAGAAATTCAAGCCTTAGAAAGGACGGGAGAGAAGGATATGATTACTAAGGTAAATCTATATGCGGCCCTTGACCTTTTATAACGTGCATGAATATTTAGTTATTTTATTACTTTATTATTTTATTTTTTTGATTGAAGAGTCTAATGGCAGTCATTGAACTGATGGACAGGTGAACAACTCAATCACATTTTAAATTTTTTAACAATGCCATTTTTTCAGTGTTTTTTTTTTAATTTATAAATTTGAAAGGAGCAAAAATCCCTCAACCTAATTTCAGTAAGTTTCGGATTTGGCAACTACTGCCTAAAACCCTTTCCTCCATCCCCTCTCTTAAACTGGTAGCACGAGGGATTTCAAAGCTATGACCTCTTAGTTGAACCTGCGAGGGCCCTTAACATCTTTGTCAAATCATTGAAATGTCATGGCGATGTTTTTTGTATTCAGATATAACTCAATGAAAATATTAATTGTTTTATTTAACTCTCCTGATTCTGAACTTCCAATAACCCAGACCACTGCAGTGCCAAATGGAAAAAAAAGTAGCTCGGTTGTGGAGTATTTTCTGATGGTTTAAGTTGAAAATGCACTCTCTTAATCTTTACTCTCTAGTCTGAAAATGGAAAAGGACATCACAGTATAACTGGCATGTCTAAATGTATTTCCTCACTTCAAAATGGACAAGATAAAAATATTCCTTAACCAGCTCAAGTTGAGCTTTAATAAAAATTTATCTTCATCAAAATATTTTGATGTCAACTGTAGAAGGAAGCCTACATGTTAGCTTAAACTTTGATATCTTGAATTATAGCTTCATCCATATTTATGTAAGGAAACGTGAATAGAATAATCTCTCCAATGTTGAACTTAGTTCTACTTTACTGAGGAAATGGGGGATCTCCAGCGTTGAGGCTGTGAGGAAGTATCAAAATGTGGTTATGAATAGTTTAAATTGTTAAAATTGCGTAGCATGTTGATAGGAATTTTCTGATTTTATTTTAGGCATCAAAAGAAAGTGTTGTCCACAAGATCACTCGGGCGAGGTCTCAGCTCACTGCATCAAGTGGAAGCTCTGAGGCTTATGCCTTGATAATTGATGGGAAATCACTTACTTATGCTTTAGAGGATGATGTGAAGAATGTATTCCTTGAGCTTGCGATTGGATGTGCATCTGTTATTTGCTGTCGCTCATCTCCAAAACAAAAGGCTATGGTAATTGTTTAGATCTCTATCTTGGTGTTCGAAAGTGTCATTTCAAATATTATCGTCTCAACAATGGAAAAACATTCAGGTCACTAAGTTGGTTAAACTTACAACGGGGAAAACAACATTAGCAATTGGTGACGGCGCAAATGATGTTGGAATGCTTCAAGAAGCAGATATCGGAGTTGGAATCAGTGGTGCCGAAGGAATGCAGGCATGGAAAGCGCTTATTATTCTTGTTTACATTCCAGATATTTACTTCAGCCTTTTGTTCAGTTTCTGATATCTTCTGTTGCATTTTGTCACATCCGATCACCTCAGGCAGTCATGTCGAGTGACATTGCTATTGCCCAGTTCAGATATTTGGAGCGCCTACTACTCGTACATGGACATTGGTGTTACAGAAGATTATCTTCAATGGTAATTCCGTTCACCATGATGGATAAAAAAAATCATAGTCAATTTTACCTACCGGAAGTAATAAATCTCTCTGACATTTGTTTTATTTGCTGCTCTTCTTTTTGGCAGATATGCTACTTTTTCTACAAGAATTTCACATTTGGTTTTACACTTTTCTTATATGAGGCATACACTTCATTCTCTGCACAACCTGCATATAACGACTGGTTTATGTCACTCTACAATGTTGTATTCTCCGCATTGCCAGTTGTGGCTCTCGGGGTGTTTGACCAGGATGTGTCTGCAAGATATTGCCTCAAGGTAAAAATGTGGAATTTACATTTTTTTTTCTTTGTTTTATGGGTGGCCGTTAATTCCTAGCCATAGCTAGATGACCTTTGTTGGTAACCATTTTATTAATCCTCAGCACCATATGAAAACTTTAATCTTCAAAAATAAAACTAATCTTGTATTGTATCTCACTATATTTTCTAAAACTAATCTAAAACAATGCTTGAATGTTATTAAGAACTGCTATTCCTTGTTAAGTAGAATGACAACTGTTTATAATTTAGTTTTCACGACTAAAACCACTCCCTCCAAGATCTTATAATTTGTTATATATGTTTTCAGTCATAATGATTAGTAATGAGAGCAATTGAATTGTTTCTTGTGCAATCGATGTATCCTAAACCTCTATGTTCGATGTGGCAGTTTCCTCTGTTGTACCAACAAGGTGTGCAGAATGTCCTCTTTAGCTGGCTCCGGATTGTCAGTTGGATGTTTAATGGTCTGTGCAGTGCGTTGATCATTTTCTTTTTCTGCACAAATGCAATGCATCACCAAGCATTTAACCCTGACGGGAAAACCGTGGGGAGAGATATTTTAGGAGCAACGATGCTGTCGTGTGTTGTTTGGGTTGTCAACTTGCAGATGGCACTCTCTGTTAGCTACTTCACCTTGTTACAACATATTTTCATCTGGGCTTCAATCTTTATCTGGTACCTTTTTCTGATGATATACGGATCCTTTCCTGCCAGCATCTCGACAAATGCATATCGCGTTTTCCTCGAAGCCCTTGCCCCCGCCGGGTCTTATTGGGTTCTGCTGATCTTCGTTGTGATCGCTACTCTCGTTCCATTCTTTGTATACTCAGCATTACAGATGAATTTCTTCCCTATGTACCATGAAAAAATTCAGTGGATAAGGCACGACGGTCAGGGTCAGATAGACGATCCCGAGTTTGTCAATATGGTCAGGCAACGCTCGTTGAGACCGACAACTGTGGGGTTTTCTGCACGTTTGGCAGCCAAACTAAGAAGAGAAAAATCATAGCATGTTGATTCTTGAAGATGCAGACCCGTTGCTGTATGTTTAAATTCTGAAGTTGCTTGATTGACTTTCTTGTACAGATGCTCCAGTCTGCTTTATGGTAGAATATGGTTTGAATATTGTTATTATTCTTGGTTTTCTTTTGTGGGAAGTGATACATTTTTTTGTTCAGAATTATGATATACAGCTGAGAGATCACCCATCTGGTAGATTAGTTCATATGTTTATGTAATAATACTCGGCCCTCTTTGCTGTTCTTGAAGTTCATTTTTCAATACTTACAAAGCTTATTCAGAGTTTGCCCCTTCCCCTCTCTCTGGTTATGATATTTCTGATTTTTAGGTGAAATTTGGCAGAAAACCAGCAGGAAATGAAGAATGATGAATAGAGAAGTAAAAAACAGAAAGGCCATCATCTCATGTACAAGGAATTACTTGAACTAATTGATAGTGTACAATTGTATCATTAAATTCCTCTTCATCTCTGCAGGAACCTAAATTGAAGTACCCTTTCCCCAAAAGCTTCCAAAACCAAACTCTCCCTTCTCATGCAAATCCTCCATCACCTTCTCAATCTCTTCCATACAACTCCTCAAACCAAACCCATCATCTCCTTCAATTCTCATACATCTTCTACTTCTTCCACTATCAACTCCTCTGTAATCCACCATCTTCTCCTTCTCTTCCCTCTCTCTCTGTCTCAGCTTCCTTTTTGCAAACTCCCTCGTCTTCCGGACGAGTTTCGACGGAAGCTTGAGCAGCAAAAGGAGAATGATCTGCAATGCCAGGCATTGGCAGCAACAGGATATGACAATGCAGTCGGCGGCTAATGCGTTGAGATCTTCCATGTTGGCGGAAAGTGATGGAAGGGAGGAAGAAGAAGAAGACGATCGAAAGAAGAAGACATTGCTTGTTGAGGAATTAGTTCCATGTCTTCCAAATGGGTTTGGGGAGGTATTATGAAGGGTAAAGCAAAAGAAGTTTGATATGTGGTTAAGAATGCAAAAAGAAAGTAGCAAAATGGATCTTTCCTTTTAAATCATTGCTTCACTTTAAATCTAACGTTCTCTGTAGCTTCCATATGGATTTGACAGATAAGATGGGAATATTAAAGTTGAACGCCAAAGGAAAGGAAACCAAATAATCTCATTTTCTTTTCCTACACAGTTTTTGGATAACTTAATGCTTTCTTATTTAGGTCCCATGGACCATTCCTACCTCATGACTGCAAAATCTAAGCAAACTCTGGATTCTAGAATGGCACAAAGATTTTCCTTTTCAATAGTTGACCTTGAAGAGCTTGAGTTCCAGTCGTGGAAATGATAAGAACTTTTTTTTTTTTTTTTTGGTTGGCAAAGGTTTAAGGTCTCCTAATCATCGAGTGAATTTAATATCAGAACTCTTTGATGTCTCCCAAGTCTGGGCCTTAGGGCGGACATGGGTGTTCATAAGGAGCTTTGACTCTGGGTAATCAAAAGAAAAAAAGAATATTACTTCCATTTATTGTTTGCCGTCTCAACAATATTTAAGAACGGGGTTTATGAGATAACATAATATATTACTTAATGATGTGTCAAATTGTGAATAGAAGTAGGTACTACCGTAGTACTAGAAATTTCTCCGTTCATAATGAGATGATATATCACATTGTTATCTGTTGGATGGCCTTATCAAGCATTTGCATGTGGGTTGTTGGGTCCATGTATCATGTCTATGGATGTCCCAAACATCTAACTGTTTGAGTTCTACCATGTCGTCATATTTGAATCATTGGTTTGCTTCTCGAAACTAAAAACTGGTTTTACTTTTAGGAAGAAATACCTTTTCGATTGATGGGATCTGAGATGAGTTTTTATTTAGTCTATAGGTTTGGTCTCTAAGATTTTTGATAAGTTTCTATTTAGTCATTAGGTCACAATTTTTATTCATAATATTTCAATAGTGCTCCACTCCTTTTCCCACCTTTACAATTGGAGAAATATATGCCTTAAATAGTTAAGCTATACTTAGATTGTGAGGATTTTATTCTTTTTTCGCCACGTAATTTCAAATAATATTATTAAAATAAGTATTTTGCCTCATCAATATATAATTTAATTTTAAATAGATTCAATAGAAACTCAACTTATTATTTGTTTTTATTTTATTTAAATTCATTCTAAAATTTAAATGTTGGCAATAAAATTAGAAATACGTTGTTATAAAAAAATCGAAAATAATGTCAAACAAAGGTAAACCTTTTTAAAATCAAAATGAATATTATAGCATCAAATTACTCAAAATTTTCCACTCGAGTTTTTCTTTTCTAACATTTTCAAACTTTTTATGCGGCAAAAGCATAAACCTTCGACATCAAGAGAAGGAGTACATGTTATTTTACTATTAGCTATTTTCACGTTGTATTTCAAGTTAATTCAAGTTATTTGAAAGTGAATGGAAAAAAAAAAAGAATAAATAAATAAAATAAATCTGATATCCGGCAGATATTTTGCAAATTTTATTTCATTTATTAATATATGTAGCTTCTATTCTATTGTGCTGTTAACTAAAAGTATATATCAATTCTGTACCCATATTTTATTTTATTTTTTAAATCAAATTTCTATTCAATGAAATCGAATAAACTGATTTTTAATAATAAATATCCATCCACTCTAATCCGATTAAAAAAAAATTAAACTCGTCCTACCAAAATTAAAAACTCACCCGCTAAAGCCCTCTTGATAACTATTTCCCATTTTTTAATTTTTGGGTTTTCTATTCTCTATCTTGTTTTTTGTTTTTTTTTTATTTAAAAACAACAACTATAAAAGTAGCTGTTTTTGGTTTTCTAAAAAACAGGTTTTCTATTTTAAAAAAAGTTTAGAGCTATTTAAAATGAGAAATTTTAGAGAGAAAAGTTAGAGACTAAAAATAAGATATTTTAAAGAAGGGCAGAGGAAGTAAAGTTGAGAGCAAAATATATGTTAAAGAAACAAAGATAAATTAGAAAGAGAAAGAAAAGTTATAGTGAGAAAAATTTAGATAGACAAAAGTTAGAGATATATTTTTTGGAAAAAATAAAATTAGAAAAAGAAAAAAAATATATAGAGGAAAAAATTCTAGACGAAAAATTTGATTTAGTAAGTTCAAGACTAAATCGTTACTCTCAAAATTTCAGGGACTAAATCATTACTTTAATAAAAGAAATGACGAAATGCATTATTTAACCTATATAATTCTATAATTTCATTTTTTATAAGCTTTAGAAATAAACATAATCTGATTATTCCTCTGTGGATGGGCCATCAAAGTCCTTAATCCAAGTCGTTGGATAATTATTTTATATTAAATTTTCTATTTCTAACTATTATATATTTCTTTATTTTGTTATTTTCAAAATTTAAGTCAAACTTTAAAATATAAAATAAAAGAGTACTTTTTAAAAACTTATTTTGTTTTTAAAATTGACTAAGAATTCAAATGGTAAACATGATTTTTAAAAATAGAAAATTAAAAAACAAAATTATCATTAAAATTGAAAAAAGAAAAATCATTCTTTAAACAAAAAAGCATAGTGATTGTTGTGGTGCAGTCTCCAATCAATTGATTTGTAGTGAACAATTTTGTAATTCACATTATTGAGTTAATTTATTTTTCAAATTCATAGATTTGGAGGCATTGTGTGGTTCTGAGATACAAACTTGGAGGATGAGCAATAAAGTAAGTACCTAAAAAGATCAATTTGATAATCTAGAATTTCTTCTGGACAATACCTCGGCTGCCCACCTCTTTCCTACGTCAGTCTGAAATTTTCCTGCAAAATTCACATAATTTAGTCATTTTGGAAGCCGGAACTTTGCTCCCCTATACCAAGGACACCCATGCCCGTCCCAAGATCTAGACCCAAAAGACATCAAGGTTTTTTGGTATTAAGCTTGCCGGAAGATTCGAATTTGAGACCTCTAAACTAGTATGACCCAGAGACCCCAAGTCTGTATAACCAAGAGATTCCAAGTCCTGAGTTGTCCTTGGGCTCACATAATTCAGTCATTAAATGCCATACTAAATATACTTAGCAAAACAAAACAAGTAAAACAAGTAGAATGTACCAGCTGTTGAAAGGAAGAACTCATCCAGCTCCTTCCCATGTTCTGCCAGTGTAATTATCTTCATGTCAAATGTCAAATTTCAAACAGCTCTAATACTTGTATTGCAAACACAACAAAGTTTCAGAGTTACCTATTTCATATTCAAATGCTTGAAGAATCAATTCAACCTGCAAAAAACACAACATTCGGTGGGGGAGTGATCTTAATCTTACATACCAACCCGCCACAGAACTAGCACCTAGCAGATTGTTTATCGAGACAGAACAATTTCCATTTCTTAACATCATGGTTCATTGGTAATAAGATGCAGAAGGGATACATACTTTATCAAAATCCTTCACGAGATTAGCCTCCAATGAAGAATTGTTTTCATACTCGGCCCAAAGTTCTTTGATCTCCTCGGCTGAAAATATTAAAAAAGATACCAAAAGGAGAAATAAATATGAGATGCCGATATTTTTCAATCATTAACCAAACTGAGATCATGAGAAGTTTTTCATACCTCTCATACCTCCACCAAGAAGTTCGCACATTTCATTTAAAGCTGCTGCCTCTCTTCTGCTCTTTTCCTCTTTTGGAACCCCATCCGATGGGGTTATATCTCCAACAATAGCTATCATAGTCCACAATCCAATATAAACCATTAACAATCAGTAGAATACACAAATATTGCCAACTTGAAAAGCAATGAAATATGAACACAAAAAAAGTGTATTTCAATATGATCTAGATAAGGTTTAAATCTCATTATGGACTCTAAATTTTGAGTTGTATTTCGTTTTGTTCTTGAACTTTCAAAACATTTATTTTAATTTCTAAACTTTCAAAAAGTGACCATTTTTTATTCTTGCAGTTAATATGTGATTAATTAGTTAACAACTTGGATGACATGACTTGTAAATAGGTAGCCAAACAAGCAGGTTGAGTATCTGGTCATACCTAATTAGATATGGGTCAATTTTTAGGGTTGAATATCTGAAGCTAAACTCCCCTTCCACAGGTCAAATTTGTGTGTCAGCTTCGGATCACGATCACGTTCTATGTTATGATTCCATTGGTTTAGCTGGATTGTAAAAAGATATTGGGTTGAATAGTAAGCACGAAATTTCTTCCCAAAGGAAATTGATCAGAATTTAGTGAGAATCCTTAATGGATACCATTTCCGAAAAGGGAAAGAAGAATCTTATCCCGAGAACTGAGAATTGGTAGGCGCTACATGGTGGCCATTATCCAAAACTTTTTTTTAGTAGAATTGGGATGGGGAGATCCAAACTAATGACCTCTTAGTGATAGACAGGTGCCAAGCTAAACTAACTTTTTTCTAACACTAGTTCAAAGTTTAGATGATACAACTGTTTACGATTGCATCTGGTTAATTCTTACCTTTTACAACCGATTTGCAGATATTAGCCGACATTGTATGTGACCCAAAAAAACCCAACTTCCAAAAAGAGGAGTAAGGAGTTGACCCGTTGACCTGCTAGTTTGGCAGCATATTTATAGGATCTCTACTCCAGATGGGCACCTATTCATCTCAACATATTGGCCATGTGCATATTAACAGCAGGGATCAAAATTGTCAATTTTGAAAAGCTTGAGGAGTAAATCAGATGTTTTGAAAGTTTTAGGTGCCAAAATGGAATAATGCTTAAAGTTCAAGACCACAATGAGATTTAAACCTAAAAACAATACAATAATAATGCTTGTGACTTATTCGCAGGAAAAAGAAAAGATATTGGATAACCCTCCAACTGGGAAGTGTGCCAGTTACATCCAAATTTTAAAAAATAAAATAAATTTAAATAAAAAAAAAAGCATGGTAGACTTGTTTGTGATGGTGAGACGTGAGAATATATAGTCTCAAGATGATACAGATATGGATAAGGGCATATTCCTCCTATATTCAGTGTCAAAAGTGACTCTATGGAGGTTATAAACTTACATGGAGTAACCCCAAGATAAAACTCTTGAGCACTAGTTGAACGATGTATTTTATATCTACTAGCATGGCTAAATGGTAGAAAAGGGTTGAAAACAACGTTCTGCGGTTTCAATGTAGAATTAGAACGGAGAGAAGAAAATAGATGCCCGTATACAGGCAATGAGAAAACAGGTTGACCAGAGGCTCAGATATAGCCATGAGAGAACAGGTTAATAGAGGACCTTGAACAATATCATGAAACGAGCTTGCAGTGGAAGATCTCCTCTCTTCTCTAGTTTCCCTCAACTGTTTAGGCTTTTAAATCATCCATTCTCCATTGTGGAATCTGAGGCCATTTCTTTGGAACCTACTGTCAGCTCTAACTACAATTCCAGAAGGGAAAAAAAACCTATACAGTGAATTCCCCAGTCATGCACTTTCCATCCCTATTTCATGACTGAATTTCTATTTATTCCACTTCAGCTAAAAAAAACTAAGGACTCTGAATCCTTCAAAGTTATTAAAAATTGATTTTTAATTGTCAAAATTCCTATTTGGCTATTTCCTTAAAAATGTATGAAAAATACAGTTCCATATGTAGCTCAACCTCAGCCTAAATGACAGAAAAATTTCCATTTTTCCTCCAACTCAGTGGTGAGTTATTTGCAGAGCTCTTGATATGATCATGAAAATGCCTATCCTTGACAAATTACCAAGATCCTCCCAATGAGCCTTGCCTTGCACCCCACACTGACTCAACCACGCGCACGCTAACCTCATAAGACCCTAGCGTGCACATTCTCCAATCAGCACGCCAACAGCCCTTGCATTCTCACACACGCTTCCTTGTCCACATGCCCCACCTGCACACATGAGTCTCACCAATGTGCACATTCCTTAACAATTGTCAGTTGCCCCTTCGCCTGCTGGCCTGCACCTACCCATTTGTGCACATGCACATGCCACGCCTATGGCTCATCTGCATATTAAGAACCTCCAAAGTTGCTGCTTGAACAAGCCGCCCACTCATTTGACACATTTGGGCTTTACAACTATTTTTTATTCCTTTACATTGTTATAATGTTTTCTTATGAATTTTAGGAATCAAATGTCTTGGAATATTTTATTTGCTTTAGGTTAACTCTTTTAGTATAGGAGTATATTTTTCTCTCCATTGCTTTTAGCTTCTCTTGATTATTTTATAAGGATTTATCATATTTCCTTCTAAGATTGGATTAGATTTTATTAGATCGGAATTAAGGTTTTCTTTTCCTTTTTGTGAGCCACCCCTTGTTGGTTTTATATAGCCAAGTTATGAATCATTGTAGAACATACTTGATTAATGAAATTCAGTTTTCACTCCTTTAATTTTCGAAAGCATTGAACCCCTATGCACTTCTTGTTTTAGTCTTGCATACCCTAAAAGCATTCAAGTTTGATTGGTCATCAAATTTGTGGAATGTTTAAACCTTGGGGTAGAGGACTTGTTCTTTATCTCGAGGTGATTGACATAAAGGTAATCTATATCTAACTTAATCCTTTAAGTTGAATCAAACTAACAAGTGAACTTTCCTATTTTTGTGCTAGGAGTTCCGCACAACCACTAAGGTTCTTATCTCATTTGATGTCAAAGCATCTTTGGTATCACATAAGCTCCAATAGATGAAGATCACCACTGTTTTTTATGATTATCGTCATTATATTTTTTTAGCAAAAGGACCATTTGTTATTACACTACAGTATCATTGATGGGAAAATGATATAGATAACCTAAAAAAGTTTCTAGTTTGCTCAATTGACCTTAATTATAAAAATTGACTCACCCAATTTTAACTTTTCTGACATTTCAGAGAGTATGTAATTACGAATATACCCTCGAATTAATTAAATTACAACGAATCTGGCACGGAATCACGTAGGTTGGTATAATTAAAACCATGGGCGAGTTTGATTCATGGCCATGAATTTATTAAAATACCACCAAATTATTAATTTCCCACTAAATTTTTGTATTATCATTAAATATATACCCACACATTTGCACAGATTGCAAAAAATAAAAGTATGTTTCAGTCCTTATCATCCTCATGCACATCTTTCACGTTTTTTTTTTTTTTTAAGAACTTCCATACCTTCTCCAACATTTTTCACATCTTGAATACCTTAAAGGAAGTCAATTTTTCATCTTTGACATCTTGAACGAGGTTAGTTTTTTATTGGTTCATAATATTGTTTTCGATTCGTCCAGAATATGATGTATGTAGTTGGAGTGAATGAAATTTCTGAACTTTTATGAGTATTTTTGTGGGTCAAAAGTTACGTAAGTCAATGGTCGTGGTACGACCGTGAATTTGATTCTGTCCAATTTCAATCCCCGTGCAAATTGAACAAGGATATTGATTCTGTCGAATTTCAAGACCATGACCATGGTCGTGGTATGACCATGAATTTGGACAGAACGTAAAGTACATCTAATTCACGACTGTGGTCTTAACTTACGTAAAGTACATCTAATTCACGACTGTGGTCTTAACTTTCAAGGTCATGGTAAAACAAACAATTTAACCACCGTCAAACCTTGCCCATTAGTTGTCTTTCATGAACACCACGACTGTGGTACTATTTTTCACGGCCATGGTCAAGCTAACAATGGGTTAGGTTATTTTCATAGTCATGGTCAAGCTAACAATGGACTAGGTTTTCATGGTCATGATCAAGCTAACAATGGACTAGGTTGCTTTCATGGTCATGGTCAAGCTAACAATGGACTAGGTTTTCATAGCCATGGTCAAGCTAACAATGGGCTAGATTTTCATGGCCACGGTTAGTGTTAGCTTGGCCATGACCATGAAAATAACCTAGCCCATTGTTAGCTTGACCATGGCCATGAAAATAACCTAGCCCATTGTTAGCTTGACCATGAACGTGAAAAATAGTACCACGGTCGCGGTGTTCATGAAAGACAACTAATGGGCAAGGTTTGACCGTGATTAAATTGTTTGTTTTACCATGGCCTTGAAAGTTAAGACCACAGCCGTCAATTAGATGTACTTTACGTTCTGTCCAAATTCATGGTCATACCACGGCCATGGTCGTGGCCTTGAAATTCGACAGAATCAATATCCTCGTTCGAACGGGGATTGAAATTCGACAGAATCAAATTCACGGTCGTACCACGGCCATGGTCATACCACGGGGATTGACTTACGTAACTTTTTCGACCCACAAAAATACTCATAAAAGTTCAGAAATTTCATTCACTCCAACTATATACATCATATTCTGGACGAATCGAAAACAATATTATGAACCAATAACAAAACTAACCTCATTCAAGATGTCAAAGATGAAAAATTGACTTCCTTTGAGGTATTCAAGATCTGAAAAATGTTGGAAAAGGTATAGAAGTTCTTCAAAAAAACGTGAAAGATGTGCATAAGGACGATAAGGATTGAAACATACTTTTATTCTCTGCAATATGTGCGAATTTGTGGGTATATATTAAATGATAGTACACAAATTTGGTGGGAAATTAATAAGTTGGTGGTACTTGAATAAATTCATGGCCATGAATCAAGTGGAACTCGTCCATGGTTTTAATTACACCAACCTACGTGATTCCGTGCCAGATTCGTTGTAGTTTAATTAATTCGGGGGTATATTCGTAATTACATACTCTCTGAAATGTCAGAAAAGTTAAAATTAGGTCAGTTGAGTAAATTTTTATAATTGAGGTCAATTGAGCAAACGATAAACTTTTTTAGGTTATCTATGTCATTTTCCCATCATTGATGGTGCAAATTTTTGGACCCTGGTGCACTTGAAGGCTTCACTTTGAGACCTTGAGACTCTAAAACATCTTAGTTTAAGAGTGTCTTATTAAGAAAATGAATAAGAGAATGAATTTACTATAACCGTTTATTTTTTTATTTTTTATTATTTTTTTTATTTTTTGATAACTGGGAGTCCGAGCTTTGCTCCCCTATACCCAAGGGTACCCACACCTGTCTCAAGGTCGAGGCCTAGATAACCTATTAAAAATATTTATCCAAAAAAAAAACCCTATTTGCCTAAGTTTTTGGCAGTGATTTCGAGGCGCACCTGGGCGCTCACCTCAGGCGAGAGGCGGGGCGTTTTCGCCCAGGTGCGCCTCGCAAGGTGCCCAGGCGAGCGCCTTCAATCGGGC